AAATGAAATTATGAGAAGACGAGAAGATGATGAAGCAGCAGAGCCAGAGGGCACCTCTTGCCCCAACTGCTGCCAAAAAAGACGATTTTGCCCATCGATTTTACGGAATAATTGATAGGACTTTGACGGTAGGATCGTTTTGATACTAAATGGAAAGTGGAGAACTGTTGAAATGAAAAATTTAGTCTGTGGATTAAAATGAAACTTGAGCAACAATTGGGAGACCATTTCGGTCAAAAACCCTAATTTTATTCATAAAAATAAATACGATTAATTATGTTTCCTTAATGTTACCGAAAACCTAGTCATATCATGAAAATGTTAGGAAGCAGCACCTACCTTCTTCAAAGGCCCCATTGTTTAGCGTGGGTCCCTTCCACCTTCATCATCAGACCCTTGAGGGCCAGACACAAGCATCCCAGCTTCATCACTTGCCACCACTCCACTATTTGCCGTTAGAGTTTTCTTTTGTTATGGCAAAAAGGGATCTAAGCTCCAAAAACAACCTTCACTCAAGGAAGTGGATCATGAAATTGGTCGAGCCCAAAGGCAAGATTTACTTGGGCAAGTTGACATTATGCTAACATCATCAACCAATTTAAATACCAACAAAATTTTTATAAAAAAAGGAAAACAAAAAACAAAAAAATAAGAATTTTTTTTTCTTCTATAAATACATAGCCGTGTTCTTCACTTTTCACACCAAAATCCATACAAATTCCTCTCCTCACATCTTATGTGAATAGTGATTGTCCTTGGATTGCTATGGCAATGGGTGAAAATGCATTCAAAAAATTGTTAAAGCAGTCACTATTCATTGCCCTTGTACTTTGTCATGTTACAACAGATGATGAAAGTGCTCTTATATATGACTTTTGGAAAATGAATATGAGAGTTGAAATCTCTTTTGATAATCACACACACCCCGCGTTGCACTACTGCATCAACACATTTTTTTTTCTTTATCAAACATTCTCTATGTCAGCACTCAGCATTTCATAATCAAGATTATTATATGGCATTATTTTCCTATATTTTGAAAATTTTATTCTTTAGTGATTTTTCAACTTTTGAGAGGGGAATTGGTGGAGAGAGAAGGGGAAGCCGCGAGAAGAGTGACGGGTGTTTTTTATTTCTTTCGAATCGAATAATTGGTCAATATACTTGTTCTGAATTTCAATTTAACAAACTTCATACAAACTTCATAGTGGAAATAGAACATGTCTTTCTTTTCATCTCATCTTTTATAAAACTTACATAGGTGAATTAAAATTTGTACATAAATTGCTTTTAGGGTTACAATTTAACGTCCAAAGAAGAGAAAGATGAATATAAAAACGAAAAATGAAGCGATATGGCCAATTTGTCGATAATTGAGGGGAACATGAGTAGATTTATCTAATTATAAAAGTTTGTGGGAAGTGTTAAAATAGGGATGGAGCGACAACCACACAATTTTTTCCTTTAACTTCTTCATTATAAAGATCAGTGTCAAATACACAAATGACCACTTTTGAAATCATAAGTCCAATATTATTCATTAATTTCCTTATCTTCCTTTGTTTGATTTTTCCTAGATCGGTTGCTTTGACTGTTTAGAGTGCTTACTTTTCTTCTTGTTTTGTGAACATCTTCTCCTACGCAACTCTACTTTCCTGGTCGCATGTTCTTCAAAAGTCTCGAGAGCTATGATGTAAGTGATTATGTCACCTTGAAAAGTCCTAATATTATGTGCTTACCAAGTAAGTTCCCTGTGTCTTCTCCATTTGGGCTCTCAATTTGTCTACATCCACTTTAAACCAAGCGCAATTTTCCCTTTTCAGGAGTTAGGAATACCTTCTACTTTTTTTAATGGCAAAGAACTTTTCAATTTCTTTTACATTAAAAATCTAGTGCACGTCTATCTTTAGCAAAATGCCAAATGCCAAACTTAGTTTCAAACATACCATGAAGATTAGCATTTGTACTCTTGGCATCCGTCATTTACCAAAAATTAGAAGAAAATGAAATCGCTAAACATTTAAAAAAAAAAAAAAAAACTATAATTAGAATCGTAAATCAAGTGAAGTGGTGTAGTATGAATGTGAGTGCATTATTCATAGTCTGGAACGTGCATAACTTGATAAAATGTAAAGATTCCATAAGTTTATGTTCCTGAACTTTTTTAATGATTTGATTCCATTTACCTTTCGTTCTTTCTCAATATTCACAACATGCTTTATAAAGAAACTCATACACACATCTATTATCAATGCATCAAATTGAGATTCTCTGAAAATATATCGATAACACGTCGGTACATATCATCACATTATCGATCCACACTTATTATCCAACTTGGTATTTGTAGTTTTCTACTAATGAATCAACTTGACTGACAGACTTTTATCAACCGACGTATCCAACGGGGAAATACAGAATTTTCTTCCTCTGTCAGTATTGGAAAGAAAAATCCCAACTCCTCACATGGCCTACTTCTATATATGACATTCATGTCGAAGTTAAGTATCACAAACACAAACACAAAGACCAATCCCATCCCAATTTTTATAAAACCTATACTTCGTCTGCAATTCAACTCCCAAACATGGCTAGCCAAAACCGAGAGTTGCATGTATTCTTGTTCCCTTTCATGGCTCAGGGGCACATGATACCAGTCTCAGACATGGCCAAGCTATTTGCAGCTCAAGGAGTGAAGACAACGATAATCACAAACACTCTAAACGCTCCAACATTCTCTAAAGCCACCCGATCAAGAAAAACCAACTCCGGCGGCTGCGGCATCGAAATCGAAATCAAAACCATCAAGTTCCCTTCTCAAGAGGCTGGGCTGCCAGAAGGGTGTGAGAATCTGGACTCACTCCCCACACCTGAATTAGCCAGTAATTTCTTCAAAGCAACGGGCTTGCTCCAAGCACCACTCGAACAGCTTCTGCTTGAAGACCAGCCAACTTGCCTTGTGGCGGACATGTTTTTTCCTTGGGCAACTGATGCCGCTGCAAAATTTGGCATTCCAAGGCTGGTTTTTCATGGGACTAGTTTCTTTGCTTTGGCTGCATCAGATTGTTTGAGGCGATATGAGCCTTTCAAGAACACTTCATCTGATTCAGAACCTTTTGTGATTCCTAATCTTCCAGGGGAGATCAAGATGACAAGAGCCCAGGTGTCTGATCTTCTTAAGGACAATACTGAAAATGACTTGATCCGGTTGCTGAAACAGTCCAGGGAAGCTGAGGTGAGGAGCTACGGGATTGTTGTCAACAGTTTCTATGAACTTGAACCAGTTTATGCCGATTATTACAGAAAGGTGTTGGGGAAGAAGGCATGGCATATTGGTCCTCTTTCTCTATGCAACAGGGACAATGAAGAAAAAGCATACAGGGGAAAGGAAGCCTCCATTGATGAGCATGAATGTTTGAAGTGGCTTGATTCAAAGAAACCCAATTCAGTGATTTATGTTTGCTTTGGGAGTATGGTCAAATTCAATAATTCTCAGCTGAAGGACATAGCATTTGGGCTTGAGGCTTCTGGGCTAGAATTCATTTGGGTTGTGAGGAAAGGCAAAGATGATGATGAAGTGGGCAAAGAGGATTGGTTGCCTGAAGGGTTTGAAGAGAGGATGGAAGGAAAAGGGCTAATCATAAGAGGGTGGGCTCCACAAGTCCTGATTCTTGATCATGGTGCTGTTGGGGGTTTTGTGACTCACTGTGGGTGGAATTCCACATTGGAAGGAATTGCTGCTGGGCTGCCTATGGTGACATGGCCAGTGTCTGCAGATCAATTTTACAATGAGAAGTTGGTGACCCAAGTGCTGAAAATTGGAGTTGGTGTTGGTGCTCAGAAGTGGGTTAGGCTTGTGGCAGAGAGTGTGAAGAAGGAAGCTATTGAGAAAGCTGTGACTCAGATTATGGTTGGTGAAGAAGCAGAGGAAATGAGAAGCAGAGCCAGGGTACTGGCAGAGCAGGCAAGGAGGGCTATTGCAAAAGGAGGTTCATCACATTCTGATTTGAATGCTTTAATTGAAGGGTTGAGTTCCCAAAGTTAAATTTGTACCAGATATTCAAATAAGACTTCACTTTATGAATGTATATTGTGATACTTGATGAATACTTAGAATCAAACAGTCTTAGCTAGAACATTTATTCAGAAAAGAATGATGCATTTTGAGGATTGGTTTCTATGTTCATTTATTTTTCATAGTTTTGACTAAAAGTTGTTTGTTTTTGTCTTTTGAACAATTATGAGGAGAGAAACTTACCAACACTTGGGATGCAATTATAGTGGTATCTCAAGTTAATCATGCACTATCACAGTACGTGACTCATTTGAGATACCGTCACACAAATGACATTCTCGTTTTAAAAAAAAAATTGTAACATTTTCTATCCGCTTTTACTTTGACCATTCTTGACCATGCATTTTTACCTGTCTCAGTGCTAGAAATGTCTTCTCCATTTGGATTGTTAATTTGTTTTTACATAGAAATTTAGTTGACAAATAGTGAATCACGTGCTTAATATGTGACATTCAAACGAAAAATTGGATAAAATTGCATGAAAACTACCTACATGTGCTTTATTGGCTATTTAAAATAGTATGAAGGCTAAATTAACTGAAAAAATCATCTAAGGTGTTAAATTCAACAAGAGTGATAATTCAGGAGGTGTTCGGCAGTTTACCTTTGACAAAATAGCATGTTGTTTTTTTCATCATCACATAAAGAACACTTACAAATTTCTTCAACACTGAAAATCTAGTGCGCCTCTAGCTTTTAGCAAAAAGCCAAATGCGACCATGAATTGTCATCCGACACATCTGTGGCATTGGGAAGACTTGTGAGACGCCTAGCTGGTCTATTATCTGACATCGACATGGGCAATTTCAGCCAATGCATTGGTATTCTAACATCAGCGATTATTTCTTTCCTCCATTAAAAACTTAATCGAAGTTTTTGTTCTTATCTCCCGTGTCACATGACTAACAAATCAAAGTATGTTATTTTTGTCAACAACAGTGTACAGTCAGCCAAAATTTTCTTCCTCTTCGTGGTAGCTTCGTATCCTGACAGAGCCTACTTTTATATATAATCTTCATGTCCATCAAAGTTTCACAACCACAAATATAAACACAGAACATCTCCACCCCAATTTTTCTAAAACCCTATACTTCTTCATCTTCATTTCTACCCCCAAACATGGGTGGTCAAAACCGAGATTTCCATGTATTCTTGTTCCCTTTCATGGCTCATGGCCATATGATTCCAGTCTCAGACATGGCCAAGCTATTTGCAGCTCAAGGAGTGAAGACAACCATAATCACAACCCCTCTAAACGCCCCAACATTCTCTAAAGCCATCCGATCAAGAAAAACAAACTCCGGAGGCATCGAAATCGAAATTAAAACCATCAAGTTCCCTTCTCAAGAGGCTGGGCTGCCAGAAGGGTGTGAGAATCTGGACTCACTCCCCGCCACACCAGTATTAGCAGATAGTTTCTTCAAAGCAGCGGGCTTGCTCCAGGAACCGCTCGAACGGCTTCTACTCGAAGACCAACCGACTTGCCTTGTGGCTGACATGTTTTTTCCTTGGGCAACTGATGCCGCAGCAAAATTTGGCATACCGAGGCTAGTTTTTCATGGGACTAGTTTCTTTTCTTTGGCTGCATCAGATTGTGTGAGGCGATATGAGCCTTTCAAGAACACTTCATCTGATTCAGAACCCTTTGTGATTCCTGATCTACCAGGGGAGATCAAGATGACAAGAGCCCAGGTGCCTAGTTTTATTAAGGACAATACTGAAAATGACTTGACCCGGTTGCTGAAACAGTCCAAGGAAGCTGAGGCGAGGAGCTATGGGATTGTTGTCAACAGTTTCTATGAGCTTGAACCAGTTTATGCCGATTATTACAGAAAGGTGTTGGGGAAGAAGGCATGGCATATTGGTCCTCTTTCTCTGTGCAACAGGGAAAATGAAGAAAAAGCATACAGAGGAAAGGAAGCATCCATTGATGAGCATGAATGTTTGAAGTGGCTTGATTCAAAGAAACCCAATTCAGTTGTTTATGTTTGCTTTGGGAGTGTGGCTAAGTTCAACAATTCTCAGCTGAAGGAGATTGCAATTGGGCTTGAAGCCTCTGGGGTGGATTTCATTTGGGTTGTGAGGAAAGGCAAAGATGATGATGATGTGAGCAAAGAGGATTGGTTGCCCGAAGGGTTTGAAGAGAGGATGGAAGGAAAAGGGCTAATCATAAGAGGGTGGGCTCCACAAGTCCTGATTCTTGATCATGGTGCTACTGGGGGTTTTGTGACTCATTGTGGGTGGAATTCAACATTGGAAGGCATTGCTGCTGGGTTGCCTATGGTGACATGGCCAGTGTCTGCTGAGCAATTTTACAATGAGAAGTTGGTGACCCAAGTGCTGAAAATTGGAGTTGGTGTTGGTACTCAGAAATGGATTAGAGTTGTGGGGGATAGTGTGAAGAAGGAAGCTATTGAGAAAGCTGTGACTCAGATTATGGTGGGAGAAGAAGCAGAGAAAATGAGAAGCAGAGCCAAGGGACTAGCAGAGCAGGCAAGGAGGGCTATTGAAAAAGGAGGATCATCCCATTCTGATTTGAATGCTCTCATTGAAGAGCTGATGAGTTCCCATAGTTAAATTTGGACCCCACATTGAATAATGAGACCTCAGTTGATGAGGATTCTAGATTAACAATCTTAGCAAGAACATTTACTCATAAAACAATGATGCATTTTGAGGAGATTGGTTTATTTTATTTGATTTTCATAGTTGACTTGTTTTGTATGCTTTGGCTTGGTGGCGCCCTTGAAATATGGAGCATGATGAGTCAATCAAACATAAAATCCCAACGTCACATTTCTTTGCGTCTCAGTTTTGTCTACCAAGGTGCTACGGTGCTTAGGGGGTTTGAAGATGAGATCATTAGTCTATAAATCAAGATCCTTTTGCAACCGGAATAGACTCCATTGATGGAATAATTTTTCTCCTTTAATTCTGTGGTCTAGATTATGTTGTGCCCTACACCAGGCTCTCCTCTGTTTTATGTGAATAATATCCCAAATCATCTCCATCAACCTTTGACTGAGAATACAAACAAGCATCTCATCAGCTTTTTACGGTCGTCCCAATAAAACAAGCTATAGAGGTAGGGACCTTTGTAGATCTTAAGAAAGTGAAAAATAAAATTGTAGGTATTAATATTGATCAACAAAGCTTTTCTTTTTCTTTTGTCATTTTTAATTCACTTCGTCAAGTATGTAGATTGACCTAAAAAAAGTAAAAGAAAGCTGCAATGTGAACAAATGATGTAAGACAATACGTATGCAATGATAACGAGCCATATTTATGGGTCTCGCTTTAACTTAAAGAATCATTTTTCCTTGTCAATTAACCACCAGAAAATCTTCGCCTTAATCATTATTTTTTATTTTTGGCTTGTCAAAAAATAAAAAATTATGAAAAAGAAACAACAAAGCACTCCCTCCCAGTCCCAAGTCTCTACCTTACTTATGCTGAGTTTTATTAATTTTTTAAAGGAGTTTGTGCTAAAATAGCCCCCTTTCACAACTTTTATTCTATAATAGTCCTACCCCATAGAGTGTCTCCTTGTTGTCCTTATAGTTCCTTTTTGTTTTTGAGTACAAACGATATTCTAAATTAGAGGGGAGGGGGATTTCTCACACACACACAACTGTGGTATCGTAGAGATTCGAACCTGAGACTTCTTGTATGGAAGTTAGTGCCCTTTTTCATTGGACTAGACTCCGTAGGCTTATATTTCCCTCTTTGTTGTCCCTATAGTTCTTTGTTTGTTGTTTGTTCTTATGGTGCGTCTTTAACGTAAAGGGGCTATTTTAGAATAGAAGTTGTGGAAAGGGGCTATTTTAGCCAATTTCACTTTTTTAAACTATTCCAATGTATTGAAAAGAGGATCGAACTCAAGTACAAAAAACCGGCATGCTGCTTCCCCAACTGACCTAAACTTATCTGCTACTTCAGCACCTTAAAACTTTGTGCATCACAGCTATATCCTCCCAAGGCCCCATGGAAATTGAATCTCATCGGCAGCTTCACATGTTCTTCTTTCCATTCATGGCTCAAGGCCACAACATACCCTTCATAGACATAGCCAAGCTATTTGCTTCTCATGGTGTAAAATCCACCCTAATAACCACCTCTGTCAATGCACCACTCTTCTCCAAAGCAATCCAAAGCAGCAAAAATTTGGGGTTTGAAATTGAACTTCTTGTCATCAAATTCCCAACTGAGGAAGTTGGGTTGCCTCAAGGATGTGAAAGCAGTAACTTGGCTACAACAATTGAGATGAAGGAAAAGTTCTTCAAAGCCACCTTCCTGCTTGAGCCACAGATTGAGCAGATTTTAGACCAGCACCGCCCTCACTGCCTTGTTGCTGATTCTTTCTTTCCTTGGGCTACAGATGTTGCTGCCAAGTTCGGAATTCCAAGGCTCAATTTTCAAGGGACTGGTTTTTTCCCTTCGTGTGCTTCACTGACTGTGATATTGCATCAGCCTCACAAGAAGGTGGAATCTGATTCAGAACTTTTTACTATTCCTAATTTCCCAATTGAGATCAAGATGACACGAACCCAAATACCGAGATTTTTTGAGAAAAATTCTGAATCAATAATGACCAAATTATTCAAAGAATCCAGAGAGAGTGAGGAAAGGAGCTATGGGATTATTGTTAATAGTTTCTATGAACTTGAGCCAGATTTTGCAGATCATTACAGTAATGTTTTTGGGAGGAAGGCATGGCATATAGGCCCAGTTTCTCTATGCAACAAGGCAGCAGAGGATAAAACAGAGATAAGGGGAATGGAAGCCTCCCTTGATGAACATGAGTGCTTGAATTGGCTAAACTCTAAGAAACCCAATTCAGTTGTTTACATATGTTTTGGAAGCCTGACCAATTTTGCTGATGTTGAGCTGCTAGAAATTGCATTGGGGCTTGAGGCTTCTGGGCAGGAATTCATTTGGGTTGTGAAGAAAGAAAAGAAAGAAAAAGATGAGTGGTTGCCTGAAGGGTTTGAAAGTAGAATGGAAGGTAAGGGACTAATTATAAGAGGTTGGGCTCCACAAGTGCTGATTCTTGAGCATCAAGCAATTGGAGCCTTTGTGACTCACTGTGGGTGGAACTCTATCCTTGAAGGAGTGTCTTCTGGGGTGCCAATGATCACGTGGCCGGTGTCCGCCGAGCAGTTTTACAACGAGAAGTTGGTGACTGATATACTTAGAACTGGGGTTGCTGTTGGTTCTAAACAGTGGGCTTCATTTGTAGAAGTGAAGAAGGAAGCCAGTGTGAAGAGGGAAGCTATAGAGAAGGCTGTGACTCTAGTCATGGTGGGTGATGCAGCCGAGGAAATGAGAAGCAGAGCCAGGACACTTGGAGAGATGGCAAAGAGGGCTGTTGAAGAAGGTGGCTCATCATTCTCAGATTTAACTGCTCTAATTGAAGAGTTGAGGTCCCTTGGAGCTTAAAGATTTCGCCAAAATACCAGCATTTGTTTGACTAAGTAAGAATTGTTTGTTCAAAGTTTAGAACAAGCTTAGAGCCTTATATTGTTGTTTCTTTCTGTGAGTATCTTCAGCATATCTTAGACAAGTTGTCGATCCTATTTTCCTTTTGATAAAATATTCTCATATGGCAGGCTAACTTTAAAATAAAAAATATCAAAAGAAAGTAAGTCTTCATGCTTAAAAAGCTTTTTGTAGATCTATCAAATTCAGCAGCTCCACCTCCAATTGTGCTTGGGGATCAAGGGGGTTAGGAGATGTTGTGATATTCTATGGAATGTCTTGGTGGAAGTTGAGCGGTTATGCCCTCCACTCTTGGGGTGTTTCCTGTCCCATGAAATTTGAGAGATTGTTCTCTATCTTGATCTTATTAAAGCACAGGATGCTGCAGAATTAGGGTCATCCTCATCTGTAACTCCTTGTTAGTTGGGTTTCAAGTTATATATTTGTTTTCTAACTATCTTGTAATACTTGTGCTTAGTTAGTGTTGTTGTTACAGTCTCTGTATTGCAAGAATCTCCTTCCGGAGCTGTGTTCTTACTATTGTATCCTGGGTTTGTGCCCTATTCTTCAATTGAATCTCTACTATTTCGAAAAATAAAAAAAACAGCTTTTTGTACAGAGTATAAAGCTAGTGAATTTCATACTTTAGAGCATCCAAGAGAAAACTAATTGACTACGGATGAAACTTTAAACTACTGTGACTTGTGTAGGGGCTTTTTTCTCCCGGCATCAAGTGAGCTGGGCTGATGCAGTTATCCCCTTTGTTTGAGTTCGAAAATTAAGCCCCAAAATGCTTCGAAAGGGCAGCAGAGCCTTAGGAAGTATTTTGGTTATCTTCTCCAACAAAAATAACAAAAAGTTACAGATAATTTCTTCACATTCACAGATGAACTTTTGGACTTGGCATGAGGGGCATGTGGCATGAGAGCAAAATTACCATGGGTTTAGCACTTTGGGAAAGGAAAAGTTTGTGGGTTCCTATGAAGGTCAGAGGTTCTAATGGAAGAGAGGAGAGGTTCTAAGGAGGAGAGTTTTGGGTGATTTTCGCAGCTTCCGGCAGCTCGACAGTGACTCTGTCAGAGCTGTAGCAATTTTGCCAAAACAGGGGAAATGGGCTAGCAAAGCACGAAAATTGGCTGGGTTTGCAAGAGAGAGAAAGCTTGCTCTCTGAAGGTGGTGGGTTGGTTTGTGTTGGGTAGGAGAAGCCATATTTATAGTTGCTGGGGTTTGTTCTTCTTCAAGAAACCCTAATGGTTTCTTCCCAACTTAGCTAAGTTTTCCTCTTCCTTTCTTCTCCTCCTTCTTGACTTATCTCATGGTGGCAAAGCCAACTCTGCCCTATCCCACAAAATCAGAGATTTTGGGTGCTCTAAGTTTCTTCCAGCGGCTACCTCAGAGGGGAGCCTCCCCTTTTCACCCATCTTCTTTCTCCTCTTTCTTCCTCTTTCCATGGCCAAACCTGATGAGGGAAAGGAAGTAGATGTGCCTGCTGGTCTAAGAGATGGCATCCTCCCTTGCGTGCCAAAATCCCTTGGTTTCTTGAATTCTTGCATTTGGAACTTGTTCCCAGCAGCCACCCACGTGTAGATTTCCAACGTTCCTTGGTGGTTTTGTCTCAAAACTGGGTGCCAGGGCTTGAGCTATTTTTTATCCTAATTATGTTGGCTTTTGGGACAACCACAAGATCTATCCAATGGATGAGATAGCTTTGTCAAGTGTTGGGCTTATTTTGGCTCGTTTGTTCTAATTGGGTCAATGGGCTTATTTTGACTAGGTTATTCTAATTGGGTTAATGGGCTATTTTGACTAGTTTATTCTAATTGGGCCAATGAGTTATTTTTTGGTTGAGGCAATGGTCCATCTTCTTTCTTGTGCTTACTCATGTTTGGGCCTAAGAAAATGGGCTTGAGTCGAGGCCCCCCAAGCGACCCGAGACTTCCATTTCTTGGCCCATCGATGGGTCCCATGATAACTTGTTACCATCCATACCACAACCCACTCAAGCAAGCCCAGGGCATTTGAGTGGCTTGGGCCCACTTAAGCTTGCAGTGCAATTGGGTGTGAAATAACGATTTCGCACTTGGCATGACATGTTGCTCGGCATGCTTTTGATTACGATGCTTGATAAGACAATTAGCATGGATTCGCAGAGCTAAATGCTTTTTATGCTTTTAATCTTATTTTCTAGCATGATGGATTTTCATTTGGCATGGCATGGAAAGTATAACTCGTGCATGGCAGATTTTTGCGTGCTCCAAATCGAGTCTTTTCTCGATAATATATCGCTTTGGGCTTATGAATTTACCCGGGCCCAACCATGAATTTTTTTGGGCCTCAACAACTTGGAATTTTTAATGTGAGATTTAATATGATATAAAAGCTTCATCAGCTATTGGGTTTAAAATATTGTCCCTATATTTGGAGTGATGAACATGGATTGAATCTTTGTCGGCATAATAATACAAAAATAAAGATAAAAATTGGAGGGTATCGAACTCTAAACTTATGAACCCTCTTGCACCACACGGGCTAACCACTGGTCAAGATTGCCATGTCAACAAAGATTGATTAGACTATGGAGCAGTAGTGTTAAGAGTCAGTCTATTTTCTTAGAGCTAAAAGCTTAATCTCAGTGTATAAATACACTTGTAACAACACTTCTACTCATTCAGATGAATAGAAGAATCAATTTAGCATTTTCTCAATCTGTCTTCTCTGTTTTCTTTCTACTCTTATATGGTATCAAAGCCAGGTTCATCCACATGTTAAGTTTGAAATTTCACCACACGTGGGGGCACGCCGGGCATTTGTTCTATCTATTTGTCTCTTCTGAATTCATTCAGCATATTCGGTTGTAATCAGATAACAAAACCATTCTTGTCTTGCCTTAAGAACCAGCTTTGCTTGTCACTCATGTAATAATGTTCACTTAACGAATAATTTATTGCAATCCAAACTTGTTTCCGATCGAACCCAACAACAAAGCCTTGCCAAAGAAAAAAAAAACAAAAACAAAAAACACAACAACAACAAGGCCTCCCAAGTCTAAGTATCTTACTTATATAAATGGATACTAAACCCATCAGAAGCTTCACATTTTCAGTTCATTTTTAATGGTCAATTCAAACTTCATCACCAAAATCATTGTATAACAAATGGAAACTAAACCCCATCAGAAGCTTCACATTTTCTTCTTTCCATATATGGCTCAAGGCCATATCATCCCCCTCATAGACATTGCCAAACTATTTGCTTCTCATGGTGTAAAATCCACCTTAATAACCACCGCTCTCAATGCACCGCTCTTCTCCAAAGCAATCCAAAGCAGCAAAAATTTGGGGTTTGAGATTGAAATTCTTGTCATCCAATTTCCAGCTATTGAAGTTGGGTTGCCTCAAGGATTTGAGATTTCTAGCATGGCTACAACCCATGAGATGCAAGAAAAGTTCTTCAAAGCTACCTTCCTGCTTGAGCCACAGATTGAGCAGATTTTAGACCAACACCGCCCTCACTGCCTCGTTGCTGATTCATTCTTTCCTTGGGCTACAGACGTTGCTGCCAAGTTCAAAATTCCAAGGCTCATATTTCATGGACCTGGTTTTTTCCCTTTGTGTGCTGCAACCATTGTCATATTGCAGGAGCCTCAAAAGAAGGTATCATCTGATTCAGAAGTTTTTACTATTCCTAATCTCCCGGTTGAGATCAAGATGACACGAAACCAAGTACCGACTATGTTGGAGAAAAATGCTGATACAATATTGTCCAAGTTGTTCAAAGAATCCAGAGAGTGTGACGAAAGGAGCTATGGTATTATTGTTAATACTTTCTATGAACTTGAGCCAGCTTTTGCAGATCATTACAGGAAGGTGTTTGGGAGGAAGGCATGGCATATAGGCCCGGTTTCCTTATGCAACAAGGCAGCAGGGAATAAAACAGAGGTAAGGGGAATGGAAGCCTCCCTTGATGAACATGAATGCTTGAATTGGCTCAATACTAAGAAAATCAATTCAGTTGTTTACATATGTTTTGGAAGCCTGACCAATTTCAGTGATCCTCAGCTCCTTGAAATTGCATTGGGGCTTGAGGCTTCTGGGAAGGAATTCATTTGGGTTGTGAGGAGAGAAAAGAAAGAAAAGGAAGAGTGGTTGCCTGAAGGGTTTGAACAGAGAATGGAAGGCAAGGGACTAATTATAAGAGGTTGGGCTCCACAGGTGCTGATTCTGGAGCATCAAGCAATTGGAGGCTTTGTAACTCACTGTGGGTGGAACTCTATCCTTGAAGGAGTGTCTTCTGGGGTGCCAATGATCACATGGCCTGTGTCCGCCGAGCAGTTTTACAATGAGAAGTTGGCGACTGAGATACTAAGAATTGGTGTTGCTGTTGGTTCTCAAAAATGGGCTTCATTAGTAGAAGTGAAGAAGGAAGCCAGTGTGAAGAGGGACGCCATAGAGAAGGCTGTGGCTCAAGTCATGGTGGGTGATGAAGCAGAGGAAATGAGAAGCAGAGCCAGGGGACTAAGAGAGCTGGCAAGGAGGGCTATTGAAAAAGGAGGATCATCATACTCTGATTTGAATGCCCTAATTGAAGAACTCAGGTCCCATAGTTAGTATTGAAAAGGATTTCAGTTTTTTTTTTTCCTGTGTCTTATGTCTTATATATAAGAAAAATTTGAGTGACAAGTATATTTGAGGACACCCTTGTAGGGCTGTATTTCAATAATCCGAACTGTTTAGTTTTTAGATATTCTCTCAAAGATCATCTTTACAAAAACTAAAAAAAACTAAAAAAACTATAAAAAAAAAAACTTGAATCCGAAATCATTTGATCACTTAATTAGATGGTTGTTATTATTGTATTTTCTTGAAGTACCGTATTCATTTATTTTGTAGGTCCCGACTAAATGCCGGAATGATTTTCAATTTTCCTGATTTTTGGAAGGATGATCTATGCAATTGCAAGGAGCTCACAATCGTTGGAACCAAATTCAGTTCTGTACATATGTTTTGGAAGCATGTTCAATTTCACTTGTGAGCTCCTTGAAATTGCATTGGGGCTTGAGGGTTGTGGGAAGGAATTCATTTGGGTTGTGAAGAAAGAAAAGAGAGAAAAGGAAGAGTGGTTGTCTGAAGGATTTGAACAGAAAATGCAAGGTTAAGGGACTAATTATAAGAGGTTGGGCTCCACAAGTGCTGATTCTTGAGCATCAAGCAATTGGAGCCTTTGTGACTCACTGTGGGTGGAACTCTATCCTTGAAGGGGTGTCTGCTGGGATGTCACTGATCACATGCAGGGGCGGAACTAGCCCAAGGGCTGGAGCCTAGGGACGGTTTTGGGGAAAAAAATAACTAAACATATATAGCCTAATATTTTAAACTAAAAAAAAATAAAAAAAATATACAATTGTATACCCTACCACACCAATAGGCATAGTCAAAGGTGTTCCACATTTGTATTTGGTTTCAGAGCTTGTCCCAAACATCAACTTTAACAATGGGCTGAATTTATAGAGGTGAAGAAGAAAGCCAGTGTGAAGAG